CCTGCAGGGTCCCGGCCCACAATGTAGAAATTGGCCCCTGCAACCATCCGGGACCTGCAGTGCCATTGGACCTAGGAAACATCACGTAAAGGACATGCTGGTCATCACTGGCCAATCCTGTGGGGTCCCTGTTTATGGAGACACCCCTTTATTCTGCTTTAAAAGTAATTCAGTGATGTGGGTCAACTAATAATTGCAAGGAAGTCAGTGAGGTGTCCAAGACTCCTGCTCTTGTCATCTCTTTGGTTATATTGGGTAGGATATAGGAGCTTTAAAGATAAGAATCCTCCCTCTTAGACCATGAATTTATATTTCCTAATCTCTCCAGACTAACAGACCAGTGACACTCAGATCTTACTGTTCCACAGAACTATGTGGATTTTACTTTCCAGTTCCTCCCTATTCAAAATAAATCACAGTTTAAGGGAAATAACAAACTCCAATATCTCTTACCATCTGACTGCCAGTAATGAGCAAATTAACCTTCATACGCAGACATTGATTCCATTTCGACACAGCATTGGGATTTCAAAATAAGTTGCCCTCTTTAGAGCTCAGATAGAAATATAAAGGATGGGGAAGAGAGCCAGGGGCCTGGAACTTTGATCTGGTTGAAGAGAATTAATTCATTAAACTCAGTTTGGAGCATTCCAAAGGGTTGAGACCTTTTCAGTTCATCATAGTTCCTGTAAACTTGTTGAAATCCACTTACATTGGTGGTGTAGTGGGACAAAGAAAGTCTCTGTTTGATAGGCTCAGTGTGTTATGATGAAAGGGAGACATTAAGGTTTTAAAGACATCTCCCTTCTAATGTCACTCACCGAGCATGGTGAATCACCTAAGAGTAACTGGAACTGCTGAAATCCTGGGCTAGATACATCTTGCCCTGTAACCCAGGTAAGCTGTATTAAACACCTCGTTCACATACCAACTTCCACAGTCCCAAAGGCAGTGTATGACAGGTTTGATTTGGTGTTTCTAGCATTTTCACAAATACTATATGGAAACATAATTAAGTTGGATAAAGTAAAGAGACCAGAAGATTTTAGAATCTGCTCGTGAAGAAGAATCCCAGAAACTCACTGGCTCGTCTAAGTAAAATTAGATGCTGTACTCCTGAGTCCCATAGCCCAGCCCAGGGAGCTGCTCACCTCTGTGGGGCCAGCATACAACATGGGAGATGGGAAGATGGCCACGATAGTGGATTTGGGATCTAGAACCTCCTCCTCGAGCACAGCTGTGTGCTGCTTCATCCGCCAGTCCAGGGGCACATCATCATCCTTGGTCCAGCCCCCCAGGGGGTGCAGCAGGAGGACCGGGTGCTTGTAGCCTCTCTCCAAGAGCCGGCGGCGGGTGTCCTGCATCAGCAGAGCATGGCCGTTGTGGACAGGATTGCGCAACTGGAATGCGAACACTGCATCTGGGAAAGGAAAGCAGAAACACCAAGGTCAAAGACATGTACTGTCTGCAAGAACAGAAAGGAAAAGATGCAGCTGTGTCTATTGTTCAGTGAACTTACATCCACTTGCTTTTAAGGACCGGCTGGAGAATCCACCTGGATCTTTAGGGGTGTTACTCCAAAGGTACCAACCAGTGCCACACTGCTTAGACAGGAATAGGACACAAAGGTAGGAAGCCCTAAAGGGAGAGCCTGACTCAGAAATGAACACATTTGTTGCCAGGACCTTTCCTACAAACCAAGGCTCAGGCAGGGGCCAGTATTAATCAGTCCTCTTGCACCCTGCTCCAGCCTCATTTCCCTGGGAAGTGAATATTGATAAGGAACGTTTTCTGGGGTCTGTGCAAAAGTTTAACAATTTAAAGATATAAAAATATTTCTCCTTCACTTTAGGGAAGTCTTTAAAAACTACTCCAATTAGTGATGAACTCCTGAGATCCTTAATTTTTCTTTCTGGTTATGAAATAAATTAATATATATCCATCATAGAAAACTTAGAAAATACAGAAAAGCCCAAAATAGAATTTAAAAACCATCCATCATCCTATCATTACTTTTTCTCTCTCTTTTTCAAAATATGTAAAGTGAAAATCTTCCCTTCCTCTTGGTCCCGCTTTACCCCTAGAGGTAGCCGCTGCCATCTGCAGTTTGGTGCGCATGCTGCCAGAGATTTCTGCTACACACAGAAGTAGGTTTGAGTTTTTAAAGCAATTATTACATTTTGTTTTGTTTTCCAAAATTTTTCTATACATACCATTCTGCAGTTTGCTTTTTTTTTTTTTTTTTTTTTT